CTCTCTCTCTCTCTCTCTCTCTCTCTCTCTCTCTCTCTCTCTCTCTCTCTCTCTCTCTCTCTCTCTCTCTCTCTCTTTTTCGCATCGATAAGATAATAAATACATTTACTTGAGAAATTAACATTTCTAAAAAAACGAAACTCTTTGAAAATTAGTAATTTTAGAATATAAAATGTAATATAGCAAGTATTATACCGAGAAATGAAAAAAAAAAAAATTGCAATAAAGCATTGTATTTCCTTTCGCAAAATTAGTTGATAAGAACGAATGAAACTTGATCTTAGTCACGTACGATTCTGTGGCAGCTGAATGTGCTGAATGATTCTAAGAAACGTATTATCAGTGTGCTAGTGCATCTTAGAACCCGGTCACACGAGTGTTCATGCCGCAGACGTTAGGATGAATGTAAAAAAAATTTCATAATTATAAAAAAATATTGCATCACTAAACTATTCCGAGATACACACGATACTATATAGAAACAGGAATTTTGATTTACCTTATAAATGAAGAAAAAAAAAAAACGTAAAATTAAGAAGATAATAAGTTAATAAGAAGATAATAAGTAATACACGAGTATGCATATATCTTTTTAATAAATCAAATTGAAAATTAAAAAACTAATTTTTTTTAATTATTCTCATATATCGTGAATCATCGTTTGATATTTTCTATTAATCGGATTGTTAATTGAAATTAAAGAGAAATTAACGCTCGAAAAAAAAAAACATTAATTATTCCGAGTCTAATGTCAAAATATATCAAGCTATTTGCAATATTATACTTAATCAAAATTCTTATTCGATGCAAAATTTGAGTATGAGTAATTATAATTTTTTTTAACGATGAAAAATAATTCAGATTTATATATATATATATATACATATTGTTTTTTGCTGTTGTACTGACATGATGCTCGACCGATATAGCTCGTATGCATTCCAACGTTATGCTATAACTGACGTTACAAGTTATAATGTTCGTCGCAACGATCGTTCTATCGAAGCTCGTGTGACCGAGTTCCTAATCTTTGAAAGTAACGTTCCGACATTAACTTCTTCTCGTGTATTCGACATATGTTTTAAAGTGATAACGATTTTTCTTCAAATTTATATTTTTTTCGTAATATGTTATTTTTCGATAAAATCACGATATTGTCTTTAGCCTGTGTACATATGAATATTTAATAAAATATAATAATGATTATATTCAAATATTTTCATTCGTATTTATTTTTAAACGCATATGTTTTTATTCTTGATCAAATGTATATCCTACTTGATATCTTCGATTTACATATATAGATAGATTTTTTTCCAGCCTAAGATAACACGTAAAATTAATATAATTCTTGCTTACAGTGTTTTTCTTTATTTTGCTACATAATTTGTTATGATATTTTATTTTATCTTGAATAATTAATAGTCTTAAAATATAGCTAATACGTATAAATAGGTATGGTTAATCAACAAGTAATCCACGCGAGTAATGGACCTTGAGCCTTCCTCTGCGGTACGCGTATTTTTATTTTGTTTGCTAATGAAAATCGTGCATATACATTATTTTTCAACTCATTATATTATAGAATATTGTAAAAATTTTAAAAATATTTTTTATTCGATTCTCTTTATTCTCTCCTCGATCGTTAAAATACTCGAACAACATTTCAAACGAAGATCGAAAATGTTTATATTTTCTATAAAAAAATATCAATTAATAGAACATATTTAATATAAACAATATATAATTATAAAAATACTTATATTTATGATATTTAAACAAATTATCCAATAGAAATGTTTATTAACGAATCTTCATCTCTCTTCTTTTAGCACTTAAATATATAATATATTAGTATATAATTATACAGTCTAAGAATAAATATTTGAAGATATATCAATGAACTTTTTTGAAATTATATGGTATAAAAAAAATGCAAATGATTCGTCAAATCTATAAAACTTCAATGTATTATTCAATCGAGAGGATAAATATATTATCATGGCATAGTTAAAATATATAAAATTAATTTATAAAACAATAGCTCTCTTTTTTCTTTTCTTAATATATATATTTTAAAATTGATTTCGCAATATTTCAAGTACATATATATATATATATAAAATAATGAATAAAAATAAACGTTCGTTAAAAGAGAAATAAAATTCTAATTTTATCATCAAAATCAAAATATTTTTGTATTTATTCTCAATATAAGCTTTTATTTGTATATAAATAAAACTGCAGATGAAATGAAACGAAATATTTAATGAATCGTTTTATAAAATTATTTTTATATTTATTCACATCAATATTTTTGTCATGATTTTTTGTTTGATTTTAAAAAATTCCTTTATCATATTTAATCGTGAGAATAATAATATATTAATTAATTTTTAAATGAAATGTTATAGGCATGTACACCATGCGCATGCTAGATAATGGTAATAACGCTTCTGGACCAACGGGAGCAGCAGCCTTGTCAGGAGTTCAGACAGCTGGTGGTACAACCACTTCGGCAACAGGCGTTACGACACTTCCGGGTGTAACGGATGAAAGAATGGACGCATCGAGCGATAGTGCTGTCAGCAGTATGGGCAGCGAACGGGTACCATCCCTTTCGGATGGCGAATGGATGGAAACTGGATCTAATTCCAGCCATACACAAGCTGATTCCCATTATACTATGGATTATGCTAGGTGATTAAATTATATTAAAAAAACTCGAATTATTTCGATTTTTCAATTTAATAAATCAATCTTGAAATAATGAAAAAAAAAAAAAGAAATAAATAAATAAATAAAATTTATTTATAAGATATTAAATGTGAAATTAATTTAATTCTTTAAAAAAAAAAAGGTCAACAAAAGATATTAAAAATACATAAAAAAAATAATTATCAAATATTGATTCTTTTATGCGATAATATTATTCGTTTTATGTTTAGCAAATACCGCATGTCGTACGATTGCAGCTATTCCGTTTCCGGAAGAAATGCTGGTTCTCCAAGATGTCAAACGGAGCGTACGATGCCTCCGGTTGCTCAGAAAAAGCATCAAATGTTTGCAAAACGATATTTTCAAGAACAAGGAACTGGTTAGTTTATAAACATCGAATGTCTCAATATAATATGTGATAAAGATTTAATGGATTTAAAAATGTGTTGTATACGTGGTAGGTTCGCCTCTCGGAGCTACAGCACATCCGACAACTCCAATGAAGTACGAATATGATTCTCATACAGTTGGCGCTGGAGCACCGGGAAATGCTTATTCTGGACCGATCGAGGGTGCAACTGGACCTCAACCTGAAATAAAATATAGTTGTAGTGTAGATTTCAGTCGGCATCAATCAGGTAAAGAATGATATGCGTACAACATTTTATTATTATATTTAATTAGACATTAGACAATAATAATCTTTTTTTTTTTCTATATTTTTAGGACGTTCAGCTATAGAACATGTTCATCATAATCATACGTATCATTTACCCGCAGAAAGTTCTGGATCTCTTCAGCGTCCAGTTTCTCGTGATAAAAAAGGTAAGGTTGCATATATTAAAAATAAAAATATAATTATTCATTGTTTTACTTTAGTGCAATGTTATTCTTTTAATTGATAAATATTTTTTTTTTTTCAGTGCGTAAAAACGATGGTGAAGAGCATCTAACTAGAGATGAGAAAAGAGCAAGAGCATTGAACGTTCCTATTCCGGTGAACGATATTATTAATCTTCCAATGGATGAGTTTAACGAACGTCTTAGTAAATATGATCTCAGTGAAGCTCAATTATCTTTGATACGTGACATTAGAAGACGGGGCAAGAATAAAGTTGCCGCCCAAAATTGTCGTAAGCGTAAACTAGATCAAATCATTAGTCTCGCTGATGAAGTGAAAGAAATGAGGGATCGTAAAATGAGGCTCGTTCGTGAACGAGAATTTATGCTTATAGAAAGACAACGCGTGAAAGATAAATTTAGTCAACTTTATCGTCATGTATTTCAAGTTGGTATATTTTATTAATTATTTTATTACATATATACATATCATAACATAATTAACAATATTCGATCAATTATTAATCCATGAAAAAAATTTTAAACTATTTCTATTATTTAATTTATAGTCCTTGCGCGATCCTGATGGTAATCAATATCATCCGTACGAATATAGTCTTCAACAATCTGCCGATGGGAATGTATTGTTAGTGCCAAGGAATCAGACGAATCCTCATCATCCCCGTTCTACGACAATGGAACCAAAAACGAAACCTGATCCTGAACATAAGGAATGAATTTATCGAAAAGTTAAAAACGTTTGATAAGAAAAAACTCTATTTTCTTCATATATTGATATCGTACTTTTGCAAAAAATAAAGATAAACGCGGTGCTAAGACGAAATATTATTTACGATTTTAAATACTAGAAGAATTCACGAGGAAAATTCATTGCTTTATCATTCGCGATATTTTGCAACACGTTCAAATAAACAAAGAAATTCATCAAAAATATTTCAAAGACTCACATTGAGTTATATGTTTCTTTACGATTAGAAAATAATCACCAAACGTAAAAAAAATATTGAATGTACATATAATATATAATATAAATAAACCAATGAACTACAGAAATAGAAAAAAAGTAGACAACGTTTAAGGTATCTAGATTTAATACTTAAAGTATTAAATTCTACATACATATTTAAGTATAAAAAAAAATGTGTATTTATTATTTTATAAATACTAATATAATTATAAATCGGTCTTTTTTTATAATTATATTATATTAAATAAAATTATATTATAAAATGTTTTAAATGTCACTTTTTTTCTATTCAGCTTCAAGGGAACATTATTACAATAGTATAATTAAAATAATTTTTCTGTAATTTTTTTTTTATTATTTTATACACGCGCGCATACGCGCGCGCACATACACACAAACACACAATGTATTTTAATTCTGAATACATGTATGTACATGTACGTTTTTTACGCACCGTGATTATATTATATATACATAGAGTATAATGCCTTTATGTGAAAAAAGATTTAATGCATTTCGGCGCAGTTATTTCAGTTATAAATATATTATAGTATATTTCATATAACTGATAATGGTTCCATGATTATTGAATATAATTTAGAAATTACTAAACTGTAAACTTTTTATCTCAATGAAATTACTTTCAAAATCATTAACTTGCCAAACTTTATAAATATTTTCATATTTTGATAAAAAAATAAATAAAAAATGTCATAAGTGTGTTATACATTATTCGATATGGGAGAGATAAAATATATTTACATAATGATATAAATGTGAAATAAACATTCGGATGAACGAAATATTTATATCTTGCAACGATAAAAATCAGGAATATTTAATGCAAAGTTAATCTGCATTTAAATTATAAATTATATAAAAAAAACAATTTAAATAATAAAAGATATATGTTAAAGAGACATCGAATAATATATATTATTCTATGAACTGTTTAATGTTCTGTACAGAAAACTGCTCCAAAAATGTTAAATTTCAATCCGTTCAAATGAAATATTAACAATAAATTGTAATATAAAGTGATAAAGATATCTAGTAATTAATATGACTATGTGGATAATTTTAACACAATGTGTTGTATTGCTACAATATTAATAATAGTATTGTTTGAAATACGAACGAAAATATAACAAATATAACATATTTTTATATAATGTAAGGGACGAATAATGTTTAGATATTTCACATTTGTCTTTGTATGTATATATTAATATTAATATTAATATAATTAGATTAATTTTCTATAAATATTATACATATATAAATATCAGACATATGTATTTATATATATTCATTTATATGTATATATATATATAAATACATATATACAGAATAATAATGAGATATATATTATAAGATTAAAACGAGAAAGATACTGTTTACGACGACAATTTATAATAGTCAAATCTTTATTAATATTTACATACACAATTGTATTTATATTATGGGTGTAGGCTGCCTTTACATACTGTATTTGGCGAGTGGAGATCATTAAGAATATTATTAAGAATTATAAAAAGAATAATTTACAACTATTCTGTTTGCGAATTGTACAAACAAATCAGATTTATACAAATCCTTAATTCCATCTGATCGCATTGTCATTTTATGATCTCCCGTGTCATTAAATTTCTATATTGTATAAATAAAGCTGAATAAACCTTTGGGGAAATTACTCTCTACACATTTTAATACAACGTATATATGCATGATATTTTTATCCATTTTTTTATTATTTTCAAAAAGTTGACATATAAAAATAAAACTATCACTGAAATCACTGCATTCACATAATAATTATATAATTAATATGATTTTATTTATATAATTAATATGATATAATATATAATAATGATATATTAAATACAATTTTTATAAAATATTGTTAAGTTATATATAGCACATAATATATGATATATCTATGCAACATGAGCTTTATAACAACATTTAATAACATTTAATAATGTTAGAAAATATTATTATAAATTGTAATATTGTTATTAATATTAAAATTAACTTAAAATTAATTTTTGAATTTTACAATAAGATTTATATTATTTTACTCTTCTAATACTTTTTAATGGAATATTTTTAATAGAATTACATTTTAATTTTAACAAACGTAATAATATTATAATATAAATATTAATATATTATTTAATTATATAATATGAAAAGATGCAATACAAAAGAAATAAAAATAAAAGTAATATAAACAAATATATAATTTTTTTAAATAAAATCTTTTTATTAAAGACTTACCATGTTTCGAACAAATATATTTTGCGATTATTTGCAAAATACAAATATTTTTTATAATATAATATCTATTTTATTTTAGATGCATATTAATTATTATTTCTATTATCATGTTAATGAAATATTAATAATCCCTATATAATATTAATATTTAAATTATCTTCTAAACGAATTAATTTTTTTGCATAATTAATAATTTAATAATTATTCAAACAAAAGAATTCTAATTACATCATTAATTAATATATTAAAAATACATATACATATATTATACATACGTAATTCCATTCGATAGGATTGTTAATAATTTTGTCAACATTCTTGATCGATATATAATAATATTTTTAATCGAGATATATATATATACAGTTTTTAGATTTATCCTACATTTATTACTATAAATATCCTTCTGTCAATTATACATATATTTTATAAATATTTATATATATTTACAATAAAATTAATTTCGAAAATTATATATTTTATTTATATCTTTAAAATTAAGCTATATATATTTTGCAATAAAATATGTCTTAATATTATTAAATATCTTTCATTGTTTTATATTATTTTATATTATTCTTTCTAATATGCTATAAAAATTTTATAATTAGCAATTTCATATTTATTGCATTCTCCTTATTTTAATTTATAAGTATTCTTAATAAAAATGTAATGGAATTAATGAAATATTATTAAAATTTTTAAGATTTCATACATTTTTAATAATTTAATTAACTAATAACTATATATATATATATATATATATGTATATTATGAAAAATATAAGATATTTGAAACTTATTAAATTTTTGATAAAAATTGTATTAAAAAGAAATATAATTAATTAATATAGTTTAAAATAATAATATTATATAATAATATTTTCAATATTTATTATAAATAATATTAGTAAAATATCAGTGGTTGTTATGACAACTATAAATATATATATAGATAAGTACTTAGAATTAGTTGCTAAGAAACTAATAAAGTATTTATCAATGGCGCCTGAAGAATGGTTGAATTTTATTCAAAATGCTACGAAAACGGCAATAATTCAAGACGGTAAGATATTTTGAAAATATATTTTAGTGTATAATATATTTCAAACTATTGAATTTTTTTTAACGAAAACCATTTTAAAATTCACTTAGAATTGAAAATTTTACGATATACAGCTTTAACCTTAAAAATGTTTGATCAATAAGTAATTATTACTTATATTTTATTCAATTTTTATATTTGTCATTATCAATGTTATAAATTATTCTTTTTTTATGATTACATTATATACAAATATGCATATATCATTCAATATTAAATGTGTAATATTGATTATAGAATTATTAATATGAATATATATGGCATTACAATTTATATGCAATTATATATTTTCATTTGTCTTGTTAATTAGAAGATAGAATGTTATTTTAATATATATTTTATTTTTTAGAATTAATTGTAATAATTGTTAATATCCGATAGTTTTTCTCATATAAAACTATTACTAAAACATATTATAAATATTTAATTATGATTAATATTTCTTTTCTTTTATTAGGAAAAAGAAAAGTTCATTTTTTAATGGAAGATGGTAGAGAAATGGTGGAAGAATATCATTTAGAAACTAATGTGTTAATAAGAAGAGCATGGAAGGAAAAAGGTAAACTTGGTCAAGATATAGGTTGGAATGTTGAAATTGGAGATCCTGAACCTAAACAAAATAATATTGATATTTGTGGAATTCAAGAAAGTTCAAGTGCTGTATGTGAAGTTTGTTTTGTAAAATTATATTACATATTTTATATTTGATATATATTTAATGTAAATATATTTTCCAATTATTTTAAACAAAATATAATTAATATGTGTATATTATATGTCTGTAATAGCCATTTATTACAAGAAGAGTTACAAAAACTTCACTTGAATGGCGGATAAGAAATTTGCCATATCCGCAAAATGTATATTCTGTAACTGCAGAAGATGATGGGACAATAACTGTTCGTACTACAAATAAAAAATATTTTAAGAAAATAAGAATTCCAGATTTAGAACGTGCTGGATTAAAACCAGAACAGGATAGAATATCTTTTACGCATCAATACAGTACATTAATTATTACGGTATGTCAAATATTTATATTATCAATACTTTTACATAAATCCTATATTTATCTTTTTGTAGTATAAGAAACCTCCTGCACTTTTGGAATTAGAAAGAAAGGTGTTGAATGAAATATTACAATTAAAAGCAAAAAAAGATGGTGATATACAGTGTCCAACAAGTTAATAAAATTTTTTTTTTGTAAAAACTTTTTTCTTTTTTGCTTGCCCACAGTCATATCATAGTTATATTTATAAAATAATTATCATAAAATCATAATATTTCTCATTAATATCATGTAAGTTAAATACATTATTATATATAATTAAATATTTTATTGGAAATTACAGACACCAATATTTATTGGAAAATTTATTGAAAAATTTAACCTATACACTTTATATATATATATACATATATATAATAATTAAAAAGAATTTAATGTAAGTATTTTATTTAATTTTATGTATATATATTTTAATATTATATATGTATTATATATATATGTTATATACTATATATGTATTATATATATTATATAAATATATATATATATATAAATAAAAATATATGAAGCAATCAAAAAATAATTTATCCGAAATTAATCGTTCATGTAACGACATTGCGCGCGCGAAAATCGAGAGATCGATCGATCGTTCTGCGTCGTGAGTGCTATCGACTACATTTGTCTGCTGCGTGTGTGTACTGTGTTAGTGATATTGCGTTTCGGTGTTGTGCTTTTAATTTCGCATTATAATATTTAAATAAGCGACGAATATGCCGAAATCTATACCCGAAAGGCAAGTATTATTCATTTTTCATTTTTTATCACTTCATTAAGCTTGTTGAAATATTTAAAACTACTTGTTCACTGGTCTTAATCGGAGGTCACATTGTATAGAGGTTATGTTATGCCGACATATCTCATTGTTTTTAATATTTCTTTTCTAAACTGTATATTAATATAAGAAATCTATTTAATCATAGATTAAAAGATTATTTTAGACATTAAGGTTATTGCACCATGTAATCATAATTAATGATAAATATTTAATATTTCTGAATGTATTTCCTAACGCGATTTGTATGGCGGCTAACTTATCGGTTGAGAAACACATTTTTCTTTATTTATATCGTATTTCACAGATGGTGCTTTTTTCTTTGAATATAGAAATAGATGTCAAATATTATTTAACTTTGTTTATGCATACTATTTCTCATTATTTTTTATAAAATAAAACTTTGAAAATATTATAAATATTAAATTATTTCGTGCGTTATTTAAATTTACTAGAAACGAATTCAAATAAATGTTTACATGATGATATTCGTTTTTTCATTTATATCACCTGTTGCATCACGTGTATGCGTATATGCATATGTATATTTTCATGCGTGTGCATGCGTCGCGTATTCATATTACATTTCATGTAGTGTATATTTTTTATGAATAAAATATGATATGACCCAATTTTCATACGGAATTGAAATTTTAAAAAGATTGGAAAAAGAATTCGAAATATAAAATTTTAACCGCGAATATTTATTAGTTTCTGAGATATTAATAAAAATTTTTCTATATTAAACATTGAATGCTGTCTACATCTATGCGTGCGTGACACTGTATGCGTCAATATGCGACTATCGTTTATCTACTGTTTCTATAAACACATCGTGGCAATCGTGGTTCAAAATATATAACGAGTGAATTAATATTACTATACTTTAATATCTATCTATAAAGAGTTTCCTTCGGATCCGCGAAAATAAAATATAAAATCTTGGATGAGTAAATTTATAATAATAGCGATATCATCTTTATAATTATATATATTGAATATTGCAATGTTTTTGTAGAATATTAAATAAGTATATTGACGCATATTCCATTATGGACGTATACATAATATTCAATGTATAGTAATATATAATAATCAACGTAAAGATTTTCATTAGTTTTTCGGAAACTAGTAAATATCTATAGTTAAAATTTTATATTTAAGATCTTACTCTCTTTCTAATCCCTCAAATTTCAACATGATAATTGGATTATATCGTACTACAGTCTTTTTTTATATTTTCATTCACTATTATTTATTTTATTAGGTGGTTGGAATATAAACCTTATGGCACAGTGATCAGCGGTACAAAAATTCTACCGTTCAAAGTGCCATTAAAAGAGGTGAGTCTTGTAACGAAATGATATACATTTAAAATTAGATATACAGTTTTTTCGAGTTTATTTTTTATATTGTTGAAATTGTTGTTCTCATCTACAAGTTTATGAATTATTAACACTTTAGAAAATATAATAAAATTATTGCGATTTTGAAAATTTTTTTTATTAAAATATTTTTTAAGATTCGATTTATATAATGAATGTGTGTAATGAAATAATTTAAGATATCTTTAATTATCGATTTATTAGCATTCGTATTAACTGATTGAAATAAATGTAATTTATTTAATTTGGACGAAGATTTGAAGATAAATCGAATAGAATTATACGTTTAAGACTTTATTTTCGATTTTATTTACAAAAAAAAAAAAAAATTAACAGTTTAATTTTACTTCATTATATTTAATCCAAAAATGAGTTTAGAAAATGATTTGCAAAGTTTTTACGATCTTGTTGCATGGCTAGTATTCTCGGAATCGCGTTACTATTATTTTTCTCTTCTCTCTTTCATATTAAATCAAAGATCTTCTTCGTGGGGGTCATGAGATAAGATCTTATCGAATTCCAGAAATATAGAGGATACAATGCCAGTACACATACGCATTCCGAGATATGGAATCACCATGAAATCGTGCCAATGGTATAGAAACAATTTTTACGCGTTATAAAAATAACGGGATAAGAAAGAGAGATGAGACGAGAGTAGTTTTTCCCGTCAATTTAATTTAATATATTACAAGAAATAATTATAAGAAAGTTTCTTTCAAATAATTAAAATTTAATTTAACGAAATTTATTATTATCGTAAGACGTAACAGATAGAGATGACGTAGTATACGTAACGCAATGTTTCACATGAGGTAAAAATCGAATCTCTATCATTGGTATGGGAAGGAGGAAGGTTTATTGGTGGAGGATGGTTGGTATTCGGTAACGGTAAGAAGGGGAAAGGCATCTCTGTGAGATCTCGTATCGGTCAAAGCCAAATTGCTGTATTGTTGCATGTTTTGACTCGAACGTAGATATAAACAAGCTTGATGTATGCACTTTCGTCCGATACGCACGGCAATGCTTTTGGGATCGTGAATAGCTCGGCTCGTGATTGTTTGCCTAGTAGCTGAACAAAGTGCGATCGTACGCTCCCATGCTGGTCGCCGCTGTGTGATGTATCGTACTCGTGCTGCGATAGAGCGGCATTCACCCAACTTTCTTCCATTTTGAGCATATATCTATGTGAATCAGTGTGACATTTTTTTCTTCCAGTTACTACTTTTCTCTCTCTCTCTCTCTCTCTCTTTCTCCTTTCTTCCCTTTTTAGATTAAATCTCTGTACTTAAAATATAGATTCGTAATACGTTGTGGAAAATAAAATTTGAATGGAAACCAGTGAAAAGGTGTATTTTAAAGGAAAAGAAACATATATACGTATATATTTTGAAACGCGTTCACTCGAGATGATACGCGATACGAGGGGTCGATAAAGGATAGATTTGGATGATAGAAACGGACGATTCCGATCTACGTATCGTAGGTGTAGATAGATCGGCGGAGGGATACCGGCCGGTTTGTTTCGAGCCATTTAATTTCCGTCTCTACGGCGTTCGCGAACCGGTTTTTCTCGTCTATCGGCTTCCCTTGGACAGTTGCAAATAAGTTGGGAACCCTTTTCGGGTGGATTGGCCGCTACGCATATAGGCGCATGCATACGCAAAATAGGAGGGTGCCCCGACTAATTGATTCTGGCGTCGCGGGCATTACATAAAACAAGTCGAAGCGAGGGCCAGGAATTGGAGTTGGGTTGATTGGGCCCGTTGCGTGGGCCGCGGGGGGCCCACTCGTTAATAGGGCCCTGAAATGCCTGTGCTCGTGGCCCGCGTGCTCTCCTCCTCCTCCTGCTCGTGCCCGAGCCCGTGCCACCGCCTCTGCGCCTTTCCACCGCGTGACGGACCGCTTCTTCATCTTCTATAAGAACGTGTAACAAATATCGGCTCACACGAAACGTGATACCGTCTTCGCCGACACGCACTACGCTTTCTACGTTTCTCTTTCTCTTCTTGTTCGGACACAGGACACAGGATGAATTTAAGCCGATACCCCCTAGTCACATATACATTGTAAAAGATGCGCTTTAAAGTCGATTTTAATTTTGGATTGAATTTCGTACGCCGTGTAATTTGCCGAGGAATCGGCACAGGGCCGATTCCCCAACTTGTATATACAACCTTGTATCGTTTCTCCGCCTTGTGCTCGATCCAATCCTCTCTTTCCTCTTCGCTCTTCGCCTTTTATTCCTCATTTTTCATTGCATTGCGCTTCTTTTCAACGCTCAACCTTCAATAATTTTCGTTCGATATCTCGTCCCATCACATAGATTTATATACACTATAAAAGGCACCGGTTATAGAGTATTGATGTAACAATTTTCGAACTAAATTTCCAATCGACCGGTTAGAAATCTTACAACTTTCATCTTCATTTATCGTGAGAAAAGATGCAGCGCGAGAGATAAATGAGCGAAAGATGGAACGATAGACGCATAAATGGTTATACGCGTGTTACTTGCAGTTTGTCAGCAAAGAGAAATATCATATGCAAAATGTTTTCATCGCTCATGCCGATGTTTATCGCTCGAAAACTTCTCTTGTCTTCTGTCTTATTTCATAAACCGGGTGTACGTACGTTTCTATACGTAGATATTTGTTACATGGATCTACTTTCGTTCGATATATATTATCGTAATAATATTATATTATAGCGAAAAATGAAATACTAATATAATAAGAAGAAAATTGATATTTGTAAAAATTTGTAATAATTATTCTTTAAACTTTAATCCACCACCGGTGAAAATTATTATGAAAACGTTTAAAATAATTTATTACTCGTTTCGTGCTGTAAATATTCGAGATTCGTTCAAAAAAAATATATTTTTTAATACACGAATGATACATATTAGAAGGGATATTAGGATCGTAGATTAACAGCGATACAGAATATTCATAAATGTGGAGAATTTTTTCCTTTGGCGTAAAAGATGGAATGATTTAAGCGTGGGAAATCGAAGAATAAGATAAGCATATCGGACCGTATAGTATTCCTTCATTCTTACCATTCCATACCAGTTCACCCGAATACCTGAGACTTTCCCTTGAGATCGTCCTATCACAGTAGGCAAATTCTGCACGTAGAAACAGAATATTAATTTCTGACTGGAGTTCAGGTTAGAATCCAGTCGAGAATGGATAGGCTGTCTTCGTGGGTGATATCTGTATTTCAGCCCCTGAAAATCTTCAACATTCAGATGATTATCACGTTAACTTCTCGGTTACGTTCGGGCTAACCACCCTCGTTGTTTTCACGGAGGTGAAAGCCTCTTCCTCGGAAAAATGAATAGAAATTTCGTGTATTTTGTCGTGAAATTTTTATACATCGACGCGACGCCTTCACTATTTTATTCCATTATTTTCTTCTTTTTTTTTTTTTTTTATTTTACTTTTCTCTCGTAAATATTAAATTTTCTCTCGCGCACTAAATAAATTACACCAAGTTTATTGTATGTAGCATATATATACGTATATCTTATCGAACGATATAAATTAATATTGGCATTTTATTTTCTTGTAAATAATTTTGTAACGTTTAATATCTCGGTATTAATATCTCCGTCAATATTTACGATGCAAATTTTTATTTCAAAGACGTTCACACGCGCGATGATTCGTTCGATTAATAATACAAGCTATAATAATTCATAAGTTTTTTTTTTTTTTTTTTTAATACTTTGCGATTTACTCATGGCCGAAGGATCTTCCAACACGTAAAAATCGAAGAAACACGTTAAAATCTTTGAAATTACGCGTCGAAGACATCGAATTAATTTGTCAGGCATATCGAAACCATCATTCATCGCTGCCATATATGATATTTTGCTAACGCGTGTCGCACACCACTGCAAATATTTTTTCGGATATGATTTATGAACAAGTCTCTGACAAACTTCATAGTGAAAAATATATTCGTGTCATGGTCCAGACTTTGCGTTTCTCCGTCTTTTTGGCTTTCGCTTCATTTTTCTTTTTTT